TATTACAGGCTATTCTGAAATGGTATGAGTCCAGGAGTAGCAGAAATGAACTAAAAGCTTCTTGCCTTGTGTTCCCAACTGTATTTTTATAGTCAGAGTGAGCTAATAACTTTCAGTTATCTGGGTACATATTTCAATTTACTTCTGACGTTAACTACCCCGAGTCAACACCAACTCTGCAGTTTCACAGCTACCAACAAGACTTCCCTCACATCAGGCATTTGACACAAGTTTGAGGTTTCCGGAGCACTTTCACTCCGATGGTCTAATGAGTCTGCTTAACCCTTCAGGTAAGATCATTTTCTGCAACAACTCTCAGGACTCAGGACAGGGCTCTACATATGAGTAAGGCTTTATTATAAAATATGCAAATCCAAATTAGACAAATAAAAACGCACATAGGGATAGAGCTGGCAGATGGTTCAGTGAGTTGGGATGCCTTATGCTGAGCATGAAGACCTGAGTTCAATCCCCACAAACACTGTAGAAGAAGACACTGACTTTGGAAAGTTGTTCTCTGACTCCACACACCTGCTGTGCCTCTTACATGGCCTTCACCTGCACACATGGGGTCTGTGTAAAGCTTGGATTGTCTGTCCTTCCCTTCACCCTGGGGGACAGCAGTGATTGCTGTCCTGACACTTTGGTCTTTACTAGCTGGGAAGCTGACTTAAGCCTCAGTGTTCAGTTTATATTGGGGTTTCAGTACTTAGGCGTGACTGCTAAAATACTTGGCTATGAGACTGGACTATGTCTCTAGTCCCTCACATCTTTGTCAGTCATGTGGTGTGTCTTTCTGGCATGACTAGTGTATATCTTGGTGTGTGTGTGTGTGTGTGTGTGTGTGTGTGTGTGTGTATGTGTGTTTAATGGCTATCACTTTCACTGAAGATAGAAGAAAATAATGATTCAGACAGTAGCAAGACCTACTTTTTAAGACCCAATAGGTATGTTTTTTTTTTTTTTTAAGAACTAGTAAATACTCTTGATTTAAGGTCTAACAGAGTTTCCTTCATTACGATCTTTGTCAATTCTTCACCGACCTTGAAAGGATAATAATCAACTTTATATGGAAAAACAAAAGACCCAGGATAGCCAAAACAACCCTATACAATAAAAGAACATCAGGAGGCATCACCATTCCTGACTTTAAGCTCTACTACAGAGCTATAGTTCTGAAAACAGCCTGGTATTGGCTTAAAAATAGACAGGTAGACCAATGGAATCAAATTGAAAATCCTGATATTAATCCACGCACCTATGAACACCTGATTTTCGACAAAACAGCTAAAATTATACAATGGGGCGAGGAAAGCATCTTCAACAAATGGTGCTGGCACAACTGGATGAGGGTGTGTAGAAGACTGCAGATAGACCCATGTCTGTCGCCATGCACAAAACTTAAGTCCAAATGATCAAAGACCTCCACATCAATCCAGCCTCTTAGAAGAGAAAGTAGGAGATACCCTTGAACAAATTGGTATAGGAGACCGCTTCTTTTTTTTTTAATGTTTTTCTTTTTTTTTATTTAATTTTATATAACAAAGTCCAATTAAATGAAAACAAACATTTATACACAATATTTGGGAATTTGGGTGTCATTCTTTCCAAACTACTTCCTGCTGGTAAGGGGCGCTGTCATGGGGGATTCGAAGAAGATTCAGATATCCTGGCTGTAGTCTGTAGGGCTGTTTTGTCCAGCTGTTTGGAATGTAGGATTAGTTTGTACTCTGTTTCAGGTGGTCTGGTGTGATCAAACCACATTAGTCTGGAAGGAATCCACATCTTTTCATTTTCTGTGGAAACAAAAATAGAAATCCTTTTCCCCAGTAACTTGTCCTTCAACTTAAATTTTGGAGTCAAAGCATTTTTTTTAATTTAATTTATTATTTTACATGTTGATCCCAGTTCCCTCTCCCTCCCTCCCTCCCTCACCCCCAGCCCTCCCTCCCTCCTTCCCTCCATTTACCCTCTCTGCCCTCTCACATACACTCTAAACACCCTCCCCTCCCATTCCCCCACCCCAATACCATATGTAGGGGAATGTCATCCCGTTGGGGTCATATAGATCTGACAGGTCCTGTGAAGTAGAGACTAGGGCTTCTCTCCTGTCTCTAGATTAAGGCAGTTATCCCTCCATGGGGGATATGTTCGCAAAGTCCTTTTGTGCATCAGGGATACATCCTGGCTCCACTGTCTGAGGTCTCTTAGACTGCTCAGTCCTTCTGGCTGAGACCCATATTCAGGGGGGCCTGAGTCAGTCCTATAGGTCTATATCTTTTTCCATCAGTTGCTGGATGATACCTCTCTGATGACAACTCGGCTTGGCACCAATCGTGTATCTGCTATTGCTGGGAGTCTAAGCTGGGGTCTTCTTTGTAGAATCCTGGGAGATTTCCTTGTGCCAGGTTTCTACCTGACCTGGAAATGCACCCCCTTTCCAGTAGTCTCTTTCAGTATTCCCCACCTTCTGTCAACTCACAAAACCTCTTCTATTTCCTTTCCCAGGGAGGTCTGGATGTCCCCTGTGAACCTTCCTTGTTCACAGCTTCTCTGAGGCTGTGAATTACAGCACAGTTATCCATTATTTTACAGCTAATATCCACTTATAAGCATATCATGTTCATCTTTCTCAGTCTGAGTCACCTCACTCAGGATGATTTTTTTTTTCCTAGTTCCTATTTGCCTTCAAATTTCTTGGTGTCCTTTTTTTTTTTTTTAATCTGCTGAGTAATACTCCATTGTGTAAATGTATCACATTTTCATTATCCATTCTTTGGTTGAGGAACATCTAGGTTACTTTAGCGTTCTGGCTATTACAATGTTGTTAAGAACATAGGTGAGCAAGTGTCCTTGTGGTATGATTGTGCATCCTTGAGGTATATGTCCAAGAGTGGCACATCTGGATCTTGTGGTAGAATGATTCCCAGTTTTCTGAGAAACTAACACACTGACTTCCAGAGTGGCTGTACAAGTTTGCACTCCCACCAACAATGGAGGAGTGTTGCCCTGGCTTCACATCCTCTCTGCATGAGCTGTTGTTTGTGGTTTTGATCTTAGCCATTCTGACATGTGTAGGGTGGGATCTCAAGAGTTGTTTTGATTCGTAGCTAACTTTTTGTTCTTTGTAAAATACACTACTTGGTAAACAATTTTTGTTAGCCAACATTTGTTACTTGTTTGCCTGAAGCTAGAGAACATGTTCCTTTGTATGCTTACAATTCTGTCTGCTTGAACTTCAGAGTCTGGGAGTGGTTAAGTCTCTGCCCAGAACCCAATATAGTCTGGCAGTTGTTTAGCTGTGCATGCTAAGTGACAGAGAGACAGAGCATTTTAAACAGTGTTGCTACCCAAGAACAATTTACCAGTGAATCAATAATAATACAGATTTACTGAGGATTTACTTATTTTACAGCAGGTCTTTAAGGATGATCCAGCTTCCATTCTTTCTAGTCATTGTGGTCATCTCCATCATAGACCTGAGTATGTGCTGTCAGTCCTGTGCTGGCACATCTACTGGGGATGGAACTGCCTAGTTTTCTCTTCACCTCCAGGTGTCTTTAAATAAGATAGAAAAAGGCTATATGTTATCATGGTTCAGAGATCAAACATTAGATTCACCGAGCAGACAGGAGACATGGATATTTGCTAACTTAGCTATTTTCTTGCCCTGCTGAAAAGCAGGAGGAACTGTTTGTCCACACATGACTTCCTTCATCCTTTCTTGTCCTATTGGGAGTGAGGGCTTCTGAGACATGCAAATGCCAGGGGTTTAGAATGCATATTCCAGTTTCTAAGCCTCTGCCCTCTGCCTCACACAGCAAGCACCTCCCTCCCAGAGACCAGCACAGATTCCAATCAGTATTTCACTGTGAATTTCTGATCATCTTGGATCTTGAGACTGAATGTTCTAATCTCCCTGTGTGGGCTAGAACTTCTGGTTTTATGGGACACCACATTATGTCAGGATTTTTAGAAGTGAAACTTAAGTGCAGGCTACAGTGTCAGTGTCTCAGGCTGCTTAGCTGCTGCTGAGTGGCAGGAATATCTCTATTAATTCACTGACTATTCCGGGATTAAGACAGAATTCTTGCTTGTGTCAACAGGAAATTGTAATCAGACTCTCCTTTGGGCTGCCAGCTTTGCTAGCTCACAATAATAAAATGGAGGCTTATTATTAATTAGGAAAGCTTGGCCTTAGCTTAGGCTTGTTCCACTAGCTCCTCTTATAATGTAAATGACTGACTTTAACCCACTTATTGTTTGTTTTTTGTTTCGTTTTGTTTTGTTTAGACAGGGTTTCTCTGTCCATGGCTTTGGAGGCTGTCCTGGAACTAGCTCTTGTAGACTTTAACCTGCTTTTATTAGTCTACATTTTACCATGTGGCATTTACCTTCCTTTCATTCTGTATGTCCAACTCTCTTCATGTTTCATTGGCATCTCCTTGTGTCTCAATCATCTCTTACTCTTACTTTCTTTCCCTGGAAATCCCATCTATACCTCCTGCATAGCTATTGATCATTTAGCCTTTTATTACACCAGTCACAACAATATGCTTTCGTACTGTACAAATATCCTACAACAGGAACTTACCCTGCTTATATAATAGTTTCACAAATTTATGTGTAAGAAAGAGGCTAGAGAGAGGGCTCAGTCGTTAAGAACACTGGCTGCTCCTCCAGAGCACCCAGGTTCAACTCCCAGCACTGATATATTAGCTCAAAACTATCTGTAACTCCAGTTACATAGACACACATGCAGGAAAAACACCAATGCACATAAAAATAAAACAAATTAATTATATAAAAGTAATAGAAAGACGACAGAGGTAGGTTAGAATGTGTGATATTTAATAGGCATTCTGTTGCTGCCAGATGTCATTTGAAGTAGAAGCTGCCTTGCAAGGAAGTGAATCCTCCCCCTACCAGAATTTGTCCATGTCATGACTCCTTTCTTCCTCTGTTATGTTCCACTCAGTTCTGGAAACCCTGTGTGAATCATGTGTCCCCAAATGCCAGGGCTTCAAAAGGAGTTTCTGGACCTTGGTGTATTAAACTGTGGAGATGTGGCTCAGCTTCCAGGACTAATTTCCAGACACAGTGAAGGGAGAGGTCAGTCTCCAAGTACAGTGTGCTTCGGTGCTACTGACTGACAACATCTGAAACAATTTACTGACTATTAAGGGAGTATTAAGATGACAGAATTCTTGCTTGTACCAACTGGAAATCATCCTACTTATATAATATTTTGGTTAAAATGGTATTGTAAAATTTTATAAGAAAAAAAAAAAGAGATTTTAGGTTGATGAGAAAAGACCTCAGCGTCTAGGGAAGGGGAAGGAAAGGAAGCCTACATCCTGTGATATAAAGCATCCATGTATGCTTTATTTTATCTCATTATTATTAGTTTATTTCTAATCTGGGAGGGATGAAAAGGGAGTTAATATTAGTTTATATTTTCACATCACAGTTCATGGCTGAGAAAGTCATGGTCAGGACCTGGAGGCAAGAACTAATGCAGAGACCACAAGGGAGTGCTACTTACTGGCTTGCTCCCAAAGTTTGTTCAGTCTGTTTCCTTCTTGCCTGGGGTGTCAACACCTACAGTGATCTGGGCTCTTACACATCAGTCATCAATCAAGATGCAGCATAGGCCAGCCTAGCAGAGAATTTCTCAGTTGAGGTTCCAGGATCCCAAATGACTTCCGCTTGTGCCAGCTTGGTATAAAACTAGCCAATACAGTCAGCGTGTAGACCCAGAATTCTTTGATTGAGGAAGAAGCCAGTCCTTCTTGAGGAAACACCCTATAAGAATAATACTAAAATTTGTAGTATTAACTTTTCATCTCCCTTTCTTCAGAGGATCTTTTAAAAAGTGACTCTTATGTCAGGATAGCTACATATGAAAGGAAAGGGAATAAACATGACATTCTGAAATTACACTGGCTCTGAGTTGATATTATTCTAGGTGGCCATCAACATCACTATGGTCAACCAAACAGAGTAGGGGCTTATGGAAACAAACCAATTAGTGTTTTCAGAAATTTTATTATGAAAGGTTGTTGAATTTTGTCAAAGACCTTTTCTGCATCTAATGAGATTATCTTGTGTATGTTTTATATTTTGGTCTGTTTATATGGTGGATTATATTTTACTGGATTTATGTATGGTGAGCCACCCTCAATCTCTGGGCTGAAGCCAACTTGGTCATGGCGTCTTATTGATTTCTGTATGCAAATACTTTATGAGAAGTTTTACATCTGTCTTTATAAGGAGTGTTGGTCTATACTTTTTTTTAATTTTTATTTTTCCATGTCTTTGTGTGTTTTAATATCAAGATAGTAGTAGCTTCATAAAAACAATTAGAAAGTATTCCACCACTTTATGTTGTTTGGAATAATGTTTTTTTTTTTTTTTTTTTTTTTGAGGGTCTGGTAATATTCTGCACTGAATCAGTTTGACCTTGATTTTTTTTTTTCCTTTGTTGGTTTTGGCTTTAGCTGGGAAGTTTTTAATTACTGCTTTTATTTCATTAGGGGTTATAGATATTTTTAAATTATTTATTTATCTTGACTTAACTTTGGTAGGTTGTATATATCAAGAAATTCACTCCTTTCATTGAGGTATTCCAGTTTGAAGGAACACAGATCTTTTTAAGATATATCTTTATGATTCAATGAATTTCCTCAGTTTCTGTTGTAGCCGCCTTCTTCATGTCCATTTTCATTACTTTGGTTCTCCTCTCTATTTTAATTAATTTGGCTACTAATTTGTGAATCTTGTTGATTTTCCCAAAAGTCCAAATCTTCATTGATTCTTTGTATTTTTATTCTTTACTTCTAGTCATTGATTTCAGTGCTGGGTTTGATTATTCCTTACTTACTACTTTTTGAGGATACTACTTCTTGTGTTTTCTAGAGCACACGGGTGTGTCACTAAGATATTAATATGTGATTTTTCCAGGGTTTCTTGTATTTTATAAATGTAACTACTTAGTTCTTTAAACTTGCTTCTTATTCCTTCTTTCATTGTGTCCCATGGGTTGGAATATGTTGTGTTTTCATTTTTATTATATTCTAAAGAGGTTTAAATTTTCTTCTTGATTTCTGTCCTGACACATTTTTCATTCGGGAGTGAGTTGTTTGGTTTCTATGAGTTTGTAAACTTTCTACTGTCTCTGTTGTTAAATACATATATTGTATTTGTATACTAAAATACAATAAAATATTTTCTTTTTCAGGTATAACAGGAATTCATAAAAATGTCAGGTACAATTTTATTAATTTCCTAAGATTTATTTTATTATTTTAAGGTGTGTGTATGTGTGTGTGTGTGTGTGTGTGTGTGTTTGTTTGGGTTTGCACATGTGGGTTTTAATGCTCTTGGAAGCCAATATGTGTCTGATCCCCACGAAGCTGTTGCCACAAGAAGTTGTGAACACCCTCATGTGGGTGCTGGGATCTGAACCTGGGACCTCTGTAAAAGCAATAACCACTCTTAGTTGTATGCAAGTTCATTTGAACACATCAACCCTCTGAGAGAAAAGGAGTAAAAGCAGCTCATGTTTGCACATGGACCTGAAAGGACTCTAAATTTTGAGAAGAACTTAGACAAAAGAAAGACTGGAGGGCAAATACAGACAGAAAGAGCTCTGGCCTTTGACCTGGAGCAGTAGAGTGACATGGTGACTCTGCCTTTTTAGAAAATGATATAAGAAGAGAAATATCAGTTACAGTCTGTTGTTTTCTTTCATACAAAATTCAACCATTTGTTTATGAAATTGAGATCCTTCTGTATAGTAAGCCAGATAAAAATTCCTTTAATGTCACCAAGAAAACAAAGTATAATACTATGAACTGGCTTCTGTATCACCCTTGTAGCAACCACAGTGACATGATGACCAAGCAGCTGTTAGGAAAGATGTAGTAAAATTCGAGTCACTACAAATATGGACGGAACCAACTCTGACTGATGTGTTCCTGACTTTATTAGTTTTGTAGCTACTGAGAATCTACTTATTGTTTTGAATTTAGACACATTTCCAAAGGACTGTGAAGAATGAGCTTCATATTTCCAGTGTTTCTCACATAATAAGAGAACTAATCACAGTCCTCTGAAAGGGATTAACTCTGCAGGTGGGAGTCTGCATGCGGTCAGCTGAAGCAGGTCCATGAAAGCTTAGACTGCAACCCAGTATGATGCTTAGTTTCATTTTCAAAACTATGTTCAATGTAAAATTCACAGAATCTATTAATAGTCATTTTCATAAGAAATATGAGTGTATTTTCTGGTGCTTATAAGAGGGATAAGTGCATTTTACAATCATGTTATCACTTACCATGTTCCTCTCTTCCTCAAGGTGTGGTCCCCAAAGCTCCTGAGCTGCCTACAGGATAACATCACCAACTGCAGTGTTTGATGCCCCTCATGACTACAATTCTCATTTTTTGCCAGGTAAGGTAAACTTTCAAGACTAATCCTCCAGAACACCATAGCAAGACTGTGCTGCAGAGGTCACTGAGGAGGAAGCTGTGAAAACAGGGATAACATTCTCTATGTTCCTAGCGGACAGATGAAAAGAATATCGTGGGAACACGGAAGATGTTGCTGTCTGGTCCTACCAGGGATTGGAGGGGAGTTATGATTGATTAAAGCAGGCTTTGCTACATAAGACTTTGACAGTTAAAGAGGAATGGAAATGTGTATAGCAGAAAAACTCCCTGAGTCTTACACAGTTGTTTATTAAGTTCTGGTAAATGGTAGAAGGGGACAGTGAATTAGAAGGGCATAGCTGTGGGCAGGACTAAGGCACTGTGGCATTCTTTGTGTCTTAAGAATATTGGTGGAAGCTTGGGAGGAGGGGGTCTCACATAGTACTGGAGTCAATTTTAGAAAGTATAGTCATTTTAGGAAGTAACTACACCATTTCCAAGAAGTCAACATTGTTAAAATTAGGTTCTGTTCACTATGGAAAATAGGTGGGGTTGGAAATTTAACGCATTGATAATCTTGCCTAGCAGGCAAAGGCCCCGTTTAGTCCCAGCCTTTGAAATAAACAGGTGAGTTGAAAATGTATACATTGCCAAATGTACTGCTGATGAATTGTCACTACAGTGAAGAGTCACTGTGATCACCGCCTAGTGGCTACACCATATCCCTTAAAAACCGGTTGATAGTTTTACACATGTGAATCTGGTAAGTTATGGAGAATCTCTGTATTGTTTTCATCCATGTTTCTCTTTTACTCCTGCCTCTTCTGTTGAAACCTGTTTTGTCCTTGGAAGTACCTTCCTACTTAGATCTTTCTCCTTCTCTGTATGTGTGTGTCTCTGTCTCTCTTTGTCTTTCTCTGACTGTCTCTCTGTTTCTCTTTGTCTATGGTGTGTGTGTGCATGTGTATGCATGTGTGGATGTGTGTCCCAGAATTTGCTTAGCATTGTTTGTATGAACATAGGAGGGAGGTTATTTTAAAAAGCATGATACCTTCTTTCCCAGCAACTATTAACTGTTATTAGTTCCTTGGGGGAGCGGTGCAGTCTCATGAGCAGGTAGCCACAGGTGCAGTTGGTTCATGAATGCAACAGCTGTGCTATCAACAAGATACCTTTTGGCTTTTGGTACCATGCCTCCTTATCCCTCATCATGCCTCTGTTTTACCAGTGAGCACATTTTTTTTTTTCTGGAAAGCAAATGCTGTTGCTCACAGGATGCATTGCTGGTTAAGACAATAGATGGCTTCCCTGTCTCAGCAGCCTATATAAAATCTTCTGGCAGTATGAAAATTAACCACCAATGAAGGAGCTTCAATTTCAGTTCCAGCTAGATTTCTGTGTCTATGTCTACATCCAAAATGTATGGTTTGTATTTTGAGCACTAAGATTGTACCATCAAGTTCAGTTGTGAGACCAAGGGTAATGGCAATAACCTATATCTTGTTTTGGGCACTGCTGGTACCTCATGACCAACAACTCAGGGAAGTGTCAATTTTTATGATATGAATTGTGTTCTTGTAATTCACAGAAGTAATACAGTTACAAAATTTGATTTAATGAAGTTATTTAAATTCAAATTTAATTATAATTTCCATTATAGTTTTGAATGTATTCTTCAACCAAAAATAACATTGTCTAATATTGTTTATAAAAAGAATAGTTAATAAATAAACCATTGTTACATGGCACCCATTTGAGAAGAAAAATGGCATGATTTCTTGAAATAAAAAACAATGGCAATATTAAAGGTTATTAGGAATGAAAATCCCATAGGCAGTTCCTCACACTGAAATTGGTAGGCAGTTTCATACTAGAGTTCTCTGTAAATTAATGTGAGGTCTTGTGGTTACACAAAGTTAAACATGGATTGTTTTGTTTCAGTTTGTTTTCCTGCAGAAACAGTCAAAACCCTCGAGGGCAATTTCCAGCTCAGATGAAAACACAGGATGCTAGTTTCTTAGACAAAATTTTACCATTTTTTTCCCTTCTTCTTTACTTTTAACATGGAGTATTACGTCCTTATAACAAAACTCCCTCATTAATATAAATTGGTGTACAGACATAGAAATTTAATCATATTGAGTAAGTCTTTTACATAAATTTTACTTTTCTTCTAGCTATTGGTCATGAAATTTTAATGCTTCAGGTACTTTTGTATTAAAAGTACAAGGTGCTGCAGTTAACTGATTTACATAATATCATGAATAGTATACTTTAAATGAGGGTTTTGAGAATGTGAGAAAGGATCACTGACTTCTAGTTCAGGTGGGTGCTCTTACAATAGTTCTTTTGAGAATTAAAGTTCATTCTTCATGATAAAATCAAATTCAAAGTGTCCCTCATTCTTCTTCTCTAGCTACTCACTTTTGCTCTCATTTTTTTAAATCTAAAAGCAATTTTAAACAGCACTCCCCACTATTTAATTATATGATCAGTGTTACAATTTGGTTTTCCCGCCAGCCGGGTCTCACATCTGTGCCAGCCCCAAATAACACACAGAGACGCTGTATTATATATAAAGCTGTTGGTCTGTTACTAGCATTTCTTATCGGCTAGCTCTGTCTTAAATAATAACCCATTTCTATTAATCTAAGTATTTCCACGTGGTCTTATCTTACCAGAGAGAGGGCCCTGCATTCTTCTCTCTTGGCCGTACCTCTTGAATCTCTTCCCTACTACTTCCTGAAATCTCCTTGTCTTTTAGTCCCACCTATCTTGCTTTCTTATTAGCCAACAGTGCTTTATTCATTAACCAATAAGAGGAACATATTTACAGAATAACATCTCCCATCATCTCCTCTTTTCTGTCTAAATAAAAAGAAGGGTTTTAACTTTAACATAGTAAAATATATAACAAAAGTTATCAAATAAGAACCACAGTTAACAATGTTTAGTCCATTAACATTTCATAAGATTTAAAGAAAATATTCTATCATCTATCCTATCTTTGTGAGTCTAAAGTCCTATATGTAACTTATCTTTAATCCTAAGGAAAACTATAACCATAACTATCTGTCTTCAAATCCTTCAAAGACCACAGAAGGATAATATATAAACTCTAGAAATGACAGAGACAACTCGCCTAGTCAGTCATCCGAAGTCCTTCTGTAATCTTCTATCTTCAGCCTACAGGCCATAGCGTGTCTGGCAGACTCCTCAGCAAAGAAGGAAATTTTAAACTGTCCACCTGTATTGGCAGTTTCTCTTTGTCCTGCAGACTGTCTGGCAGACTCTTCAATGAAGCAGGGATCCTGTAACATCTTGAATCAGCAGTTATTTTTCTGTGGGTCCTGCATGTCCAGTTTATACAGCATAAAGTCAAATAGTCCAGACAAAAGAGTATCTTGTCCAAATGACTAGTCTTGGAATATTGGAGGCACACTCCATAACGAGTTTCTTCAATGTCCATCTTCCTTTCTGACTCAGGTGGTGTTGCCAGGAGCAGTTGTACCTCACTGTTAAGAAAAACTCTAAACCATTTTAAACACCATATTCTGTAGGTCTTTGAAAGTTTTGAAGAATGCCTATCCATCTCAAATACATCTTGAAAACCTAACTTAACTCTAAGTTTTGACTATCATAGGTAATATCTATAATCTGTACTAAATTATACATTATATTTCTAAATGAGCTATATAAACACAATACCTAAACAAGAGGAGAAATATACATATCACAAAATTGACCTCAAATTTGTATCAATAAATGAAAATACATTCCAAAACAAAGTATTCATATCTATACCATAATCCCCTTTTTACCTTTAGAGGGAGATTGGTTTTGGTCATTAACCATTTTAACCAGCTCAAAGCTGAAACTTTCTAATCTTTACTTAATAAAAAGTCCACTACCAAGTCAACACATTTTTTAAAATGTCAGTTTTAATGATTTCTAGGTTTTATTCTCTCTTTGTCACAATTCAACTTCCTTGCCTTACATCTGTACCCTGGCAAGCACCTCCTGCTTAATGTAATCTTTTATGGTAAGGATTAAAAACAGAAACATCTACTCTCCAGTCTGCTGGCACAAATTTCAGGCTCTAGATAAAAAAGCATAACGTTTGCCCATATTCTTACCTACTTTATTTATAACCAGTTCTGTCAACACTCCACAAACAGTCCTTACTTCTGCAGAGCTCAGCCCCCTTTGTACAGTTCTTCATCTGATCTATGTTCACAAAACCTTTCCTCCCCAGGGAGAGTCAGGTTGAATGAGTCAGAACTTATATCATAGTCCATCTTGTCTGCACAGGTTTACATCTTACAGCTGTCTGTGATTTCAGCATTTTCTTGTTTTATAATAACCATTGCTTTTCTTACAAGCATGAATGTGCTCCAAAATCCAAAGATGGTAATGTGTATGTAGGTCTATCTTTTTCTAGCCACAGTCATGGCTGCTGGTTCTCAAAGCTGCTATGATAAATGTTTCCTAAATAATGTTTACCTCATAGCTGTGTTTTGAGATAAAAAATTAGAAAACTGATTTTGTAATTTATGACTTTTAATAAGCTCTTTATTATAGATTGGAATGTCACAGATTCCTTTAGATTCCAAAGCTACACTTCCTTAGTGTCTCCATCATAAGGCTTTGAGCCTCTACAGAACTGACTTTGCAAAAAGTGCTATCTTTTCTCCATTTTTTATTTAAAGTAAGTTCTTCAGGATCTGAGATCGTGTCATTCTTGTACTGACTGATTTTTCTCAGCAATTGTAAATCCTAGACCACTTGGACTATTGGCGTTTTTACTAGCTATTGCAAAATGCTAGGTTACTTTTGTTCAATCATTTCTCTTTGTTCTTTAATCTAGATCTCAGGCTGTTTATCTCCAAATCATCTGCTTTCGTTCATGAACATTGTATTTACCCCATTAAAAACAGTGAAGTGTGTTTTTGGTCAATAAAGGAGATGTTTCATACTTTGATAGGTCACCTTGTTTCTCAATGTGACAAAGGACATAATTATGTCACAAGTTTTAAGATGATCAGATGAAGTGAAAAATCCCCTTAGTACATTGTTAATATATAGGTATACCCTCAAAGAAGAGAGGGCATGCTTTCTTTAAAAACATGTTGCTTGGTTATTTTCTAATGTAAAAATCATGTAACTTCCAATACACTAAAGTGATACTTAATACTTTCATCTGTTTGAGAACACAGGCCCTGGTGGACCTCCACTTGCAGGCTTGCCTATGGGATATAATATTCTAAGGCATCCTTGTACCATCCCCTTGTACTATACCACTGGTGTATCCATTCTATCCAGTACCAGCCTGGCAAATATCTTAAGACCTATCGGGCTGCTCCAGTAATGTGGATGCCAGGGCCAACTCCTGTGCCCAGCTGCCCTTTTGGTCTGGCATACTTAGCTCAGGTACCATAATATATCTAAAGCATTTTCCAATGAAGCCTGACAATTGGGTATAAACAGGAAACAAGATGATAGCAAAAGTGAATAGGGAGACGGGTCACTGACGGCAGAGCTGCCTTGCTGAGAGCCATGTTGGTGGATTTACAGGCAATCAGTGAAAACAGATATATTCACAAGACACATACGTTCTTTGTGAAGCAATAAAATTGACTTTCAACTTGTTCAATATGGCTTTCTCAAGGAAATTATAAAAATAAGAATGAGGGTCACATGTAAAGTGTTCATGTCAAGAAAAACAATAAGGAGAAGAGTTTACTAGACAAGGGGAGATGGAGTCACAAAATGTTCAGCCCATAGCTTCTTTTAAACATCTCAGACTCTTTAACACTCCTGAACACCCTAACACATAAATATAGGTAAGTATAAGATGTTGCTTCAAGCTAAAATACATGTCCCCTTCATAAAGCACAGTGACTCCCCAGTTTCCTGTATATATAAATCACAGAGCCAGAATAAAAGCTGGTGTGTACACAGTTTTTGTATGAATGATATCTAAAACCTGCAAAAGAAAACTTGTTGTCAAAAATAAGAAAAGGCTAATTGTGGAAATGCCTTCTGAACTTATAAAGAAGTTTTTAAATATATTGTTTAGTAAGGGCATTTAGTAATTTGTTCTGATGTAGTAAACCAAACACCCCTGGAGTTGACATGTGTCAGTTTTTAGTTGTCTGTGTAGAAGGGACCTGTTAGGGCTATGTGTTGAAAAGCATAGATTGTTGCATTGCTGATAAATGAAAATCTACAGGGTTAGGTAAGAAAACATTTGGATTTTACATGAATGAAATCTCTTGTTAAAATTTATTGAGCAAGCTTTTGATGAAATATAAAATTTATTCATAGAAAGTGATAGATGCATATACTAGTCTAAAAGTCTTTCAGAAATGACTATAGTGAGTCACACTAGAAATCTCCATTACAATACCCAATGAAATTGCCTTTTGAAATACGAAAATTTTTGAAAAGAGTATCTCAGTTTCTGCTTTTACTCAGGGAGTAAATCAGTGTATTTTTTTAAAGATTTATTTATTATGTGTAGATTGTTCTGCTTGCATGCATGGACACCAGAAGAAGGCACCAGTTCTTATTATAGATGGTTTTGAGAATTGAACTCTGGAAGAGCAGCCATTTTCCCTTTCGGGAATTATAGAGTTTAAAATAAATGAAAAAGTAAAGTTTGGAGCCAAATACACCTGGTCTTTCTCCTCTCTGCCATTTACTAACTTGAGACTTGGAGTCTTCATTATCCATGAAACAGTTTAATCGAGGGCAGACTATCACGGTGTGAGTCTTAATGGATAAACTTGTAATGGGCATCCTGTTGTTGGAACACAGAGGTGTGTCCTGCAGATCTTGGCTGTGAACATTCTTAGTTATAACCTCTTGTGTCATTTCCCTGTCACGTTGTTTGAGATGACAAGTACAGATCATGGGATACTTTGTTAAGATCTCCAAGAGCACTTTTCCATCCGCTGAAGCTTTAGAATATTTCCAGAGCCTTGTGTTTGCCGAGGCTCCACCTGTTCGTATAGTCTTTCCTGGAACAGTGCCTAAGAAACATTCTCATCAGCAGTAATCAGAGCATTTTGCCCTTTGGTAGACACTTTTGCCACACAGTAAATATTTTTATTTCTGTATTTCAATTTCTTTGCATTTTACAAAAGGAACTGCAAACAACTGTAGGAGCCATTTTGATATCTTATAAGAAATGATCCCTTATTAATTTATAAGTTTTACCTTAACCTTGGATAGTGTCCTCCTATATCCCTTTGTAACTAATCACACAATATCATCCATAGTCAGTTGTTTTTAATCTTGTTATTACATCAGGTAGCTTTCAGTATTTAATGAATTTTTATGCATTGCAACATTTTAGGGAGCTTTCTATGGTTAGTGATTATGAATGATCTAATGACATAGAGGATTTGTAAATGTATTGATTAAGATCTATCTGTCCTAGAGGAGATTGTGTATATTTTACTGGGATGTTTTGAACTTGACCAGATAATAAAGCCATCAAACTGTTCAAAGTAATTCTAATACCGTTCAAGTAGAAGTTTCTCTAATAATGTTCCTAACCTTCCTTTTATTGACTTCGTCCTTCCCTTTCTCCAGATACTACTCACATGGTGCTACCCTCATGCATCCATACTAAAGTATGCGCTTGGGCAAGAACCTGGTATTAGTGAATGCAGATGAATGAAAATTCATGTGTTTAACCTCTTTGAGAGGTTCTCGGGAAATAATGTGAAGCAGAGGTCTTATTCAGGCTTGCTTTGGCTTGTTTACCTTCCTGAAACAATGAGATCATCACATGTTGTATCTAGTTTATGTTAAGTCATCCTGACTTGCTCTCACGTGAACATCTCAGAGAGATTGACAGAGAAATAACTTAAGATCCTTTACATGTACCTGGGTTGTCACTATAGCAAGCAGATATTTTCCTCATGTCAGTCAGCACTCTAACCTTTTTCAGAGAAAATTTCATTTATCTGTAATTAGAAATAAATATTTCACAATATAAAATTACATATTGTTCTGGATTAATCACTATGGTTTGTGTTCAATTTGTAACAATGAAAATACATCTTGCATATCAGACATTTACATTATGACTCATAACAGTAGCAAAATTACAGTTATGAAGTCTGCTCTCTGGTTTTTAATGTTGAACTACCTGACAGTGTTTTTCTTATTTGGACAACTCTGCTAATATCTGTCTAATTAGATGCAAATGAGATTCTCAACTGATTAAATTTTTAGATTCCATTCAGTTTTCAAAGAGATATTTGGCCCCAATTGATACATTTTAGTTATTTTCATTTTATTTCATGCACATGGGTATTTTGCCTGCACGTGTATCTGTGTACCACTTCCTTCCTAGTACCTGTGAAGGCCAGATGAGGATGTCGGATTCCCTAGAAGCGGAGTTGCAGATGGTTGTGAGCAACCATATTGGTTCTGGGAGGCAAACACACATCCTCTGGAAATATAGCTGGTGTTTTTAAGAAGGAGCCAATTCTCCAGCCCCTGACTGATACATTTTAATACTGTGTAATCAAATTCTTTTCCCTTGCTTATTAAAATTAATTCTAGCTTTCTGTCTTCTAATTGTCTTTGTTCTGTCTCCACAGTTGAACAACATACACATTCTTCAGCATTTTGAGCCTCTGGAATGTATGTATAATTGTGTTTTGACTAGCATGTGTTTTAATTAGCAGTATTTTAATCAGATGGAAATTTCCACTACTTCATACCTAGTGCCTTATTTTATGTTGATGAGTTTTCAGTGATTCAAAGGCAGGAGACTATCCTTTATTATATTATCTTTGCAAAAGCAATAAATGAATTTCCCATGTAATTTTATCGACTACTACTACATATAAGGATGGTCTTAGACTCAGAAAGGACTTGCATCTAATTTGATTGGTTCCTGGTTTATTTGTCTGTGTTCCTTCTTCTGCATTTAACTTAATTCAGATGAGCACAAGAAGAAGGTGAGAGGTGACTGAGCTAGCTAGAGTCCCCTGCTCCACTACAATCCGTGGCAAAGAGAAAACAGAATTTAAGACTGCAGGGTATAGTATGTGGTTGTTGCTATGGAAGTCTGGATAAATGAGCCCAGACAGGTGATGCTCTGCTGTTATCATTTCCTCTTGGGATTGCTCACTCTTTCTTGGGGTAGAAGCTGGGCAAGCCCCGCTGGGCACCACGTGGGGCTTTGGTTGTCCTGGGTTTATTATTTTTTTTTATCTGCAAGGAGTATATCCCTAGTCATTTCATCAGTTTCATGTGTTGATTAATTTATGGTCTCATTTGTGATTCGTTAAAATGGTTTTATTATGAAAATTTTCTGAATACTTTTATTCCAGGAATATTGTTTTATGTGGGAAAAACTTTTTAAAATAATTTCATACTAAACTTAGCAATTGTTTCAAACTTTTAAAACCCTCATGGGTCACATGGTTATATTTCCTCTGAAATTAAAAAAAAAAATTGGCTTTCAGTCCTAACCATAGTTCTTTCTTTCTTTCTTTCTTTCTTTCTTTCTTTCTTTCTTTCTTCCTTCCTTCCTTCCTTCCTTCCTTCCTCCCTTCCTCCCTCTATCCCTCCCTCCCTTTCCCTACTCTCTCCCCTTCCTTTCTTCCTTCCTTTTTTATAGCAAAGGTTGATTGAGGAGTATTTGGACTTGTTCTAATCTAAGATTCTTTTTTCATTCTTTTAGTGATGACAGGTTATGAAACGAAAAATATATATGATATAAAAAAATATAGACCAGATGGTGTACATTGTAACTGAAAACACATATGATTATACCAGGAATGCCTATCGGAACCTACGACCCTTCATACTCCGGGTCACTGTCTGCCTCGGCTGAGAGATCATGACCATGCCGAGACCTTTCTGATATACCTGTTGTTGATTCTGCTGCCCCTGTGTAAGGCAAGAGGTCAGAAAACAGGACTGGAATCGACATTGGCTTCCTGACCTGCCCTTTACAGCGTGGTTGGTCTTCTCCTCTCTGTACTACACATGGGATGGAGATTTCTAGCCCTACAATTCAGAATAAAACTGCAACTGGGTAGTGGAGAGAGAGAAAGCTGTCAAAGGACAGAATTTCAGTTTTCCTTTATCTCCTCAACTGAGAGATGGGGTTAAGTGCAACTTGAGTCTATTTTGTGAATAGCTACATTCTGATGGATTAGGTACTTATAGGGATGGACTGTAGTCATATGGCATGTAAAGGTTCCAACATATCCACCAGATGACAAACTGGGAAGGGCTTTTGATTGTAGTACTCATCACAGCCTATGCCTTTATGCAAAGACAGGGAGAGGGAGAGAGGGAGAGAGGGAGAGAGGGAGAGAGGGAGAGAGGGAGAGAGGGAGAGAGGGAGAGAGGGAGAGAGGGAGAGAGGGAGAGAGGGAGAGAGGGAGAGAGAGAGAGAGAGAGAGAGAGAGAGAGAGAGAGAGAGAGAGAGTCTTAAAGGCAGGTGGGATGCCAGACTGGAGTGCCCTGCTGATGGCAGAGCTGGATTACATTGAATTTTGTTTTGGACATCCCTCTTGTCTCTAATTTTATTAATTTGTACCCTCCTTTTATTTTGGTTCACATGGTTAGGAATTTTTCAAAAAGATATTTTAGTTGATTCTGTGTTTCCTTTTAGTCCCTATTTCATCAGTCTCTACCTGCTATTTGCTGTTTGGATTTGGCTTGCTGTTAACTTTTTTTTGAACTTTGAGTGGATCATTTGAGACCTTATTTTTAATGTAAGCTCTCCCAGCTGTAATATTTCCCTTAGAACTGCCCTGTCTGTGTCCTGGTGGTTTGAGAAGCTTTGTTGCTATTTTAGTTAGAATCTATTATTGTTTCAGTTTCTTTCTCGATTTCTTCACTGATTCAGTATTCATTGAAAATGTGTATAATTTCTCTTTTACCTTTTTTTTGTTTTGTTTTTAAAGATTTATTTACTATGTGTAGAGTGCTCTGCCTGCATATATCCCTTCTGGCCAGAAGAGGGCACCAGACTTCATTACAGACTGTTGTGAGCCACAACGTGGTTGCTGAGAATTGACTCAGGACCTCTGGGAGAACAGGCAATGCTCCTAACTCCTGAACCACCTCTTCAGCCCTAAAAATGTGTATAATTTCTTTAGTTTTCTTTAATGTTTGTTCTAGTTTTACTTTGTTGTAATATGACAGAATATAAGGAATTGTTTCAATCCTGTTTATAAGTTGTTTCAATTCTCTTGTCATTGTTGAGCCTTGCTTTATGGTCTACATTGTCACCAACTTTTAAAAATCTTCCACGAGTCACTGCAAGAACGATGTATGGTTTCCCTGGGTGTTGGTGGTGCACTTCTTTAATCCCAGCACCCAGGCTACAGGGACAAGCAGATCTCTGTGAGTTTGAGGCCAGCCTGATCTACAGAGCTAGTTCTGTAGCTCTGTAGCTACAGAGAAACCATGTCTCAATATATATATATATATACATATGTTGTAGTTTAGCTGCAAATTTTTTGGGGGGTTTTAGGTGTAGTTAGTACAGAAGACATTGTACAGATGGTAATGGTGTATTGAGTGCAACCGACTCTGTCTGACCTTCCACTTACTACCTTTAAGTGTTTGCTTTATGAAATTGGGAGACTCAATATTTCTTGCCAGAATGTTTACAATTATTTTAAGGTTGTGCTGGCTAGCTTTTGTTGACTTCACACAAACTAGAGTCACTGAGCAAAGGTAATCTTAGTTGCGAGAAGAGCACTTTCTTCTATTCTAGACAACCCAAGTTTGGTTCCCAGCACCCATATTTGGCAGCTCATAAACTTTAAGTATTTTTTTTTTTTTGCAGTGCTGCCTTGGTTGCCACTCAGTGTCTTAGTCTGTGCTTTTCTTGAAATGCCTTATTTCTCTATAACCTTTAAATATAGCTTGGCTGGGCATTTCAATCTTATTTGGCAGTTGTTTACTTTCATGTCATGATTTCCTGGTTTTGGAGTTGATGGCAAGAGGTGTGTGTTTTCCTTTGTATGTGACTTGTTGTTTTCCTGTTATAGTTTTAGTATTGTTTCTTACTTTTGTATTTGTAATCGTCACTGTAGTATGTCATAGAGAGGTTCTCTTCTGCTCATTCCTGTTATGGTTCTAAATGCCTCAGGTTTTGTTGCTATGACTTCCTCTAGGTTTTCCATACTTTCTAGAATTTAGACTTTATCATATCCCTTTCTTCTACTCCAGAGATTCTTAAATCTTATTTTTTGAATGTACCCCAGAAATCTTGAAAGCTTTGTTCATATGTGTTGCATGTATGTTATAACATGCATGTATGTATGTATGTATGATTGCCTTTTCATTGCCCTGAGTCCCTCAAACTCATGCTCTTGCTTGCTCTTGCCTATCACAATGCTTTCCACTGTGGTTGTATTTACTTAATTTATTGCTGATTTCATTTCCAACATTTCTCTTTCTTTGTTTTTCAGAGGCTCAAAATCCTTGGTGAATTTTTTACTCCTGCACATCTCCTCCAGTCACTACTTTGCTAAATTTCTTGTCTAGGCCCTGAATTACAATACCTAGAGGTTTTAAATGGTGTGTTATATATCATTCTTTTCTAAATATTAATATGTTTATCAAGTCACTGTTTATCAATTTACCTGTAAATTTGAGATTATAATTAATAGTTCTTCTTGGACAAAATGGTTGCTTTGAAGATTGAAGACTTTTCAGTACACACCAGTCTCTAAACTCAGTTCCTGATAGATAGTATTGTTCCAGCCCATCGGTGTTTCTGTTCTTCTGATACTCCCTTGCACTCATTATCATTATCTTTGTAATAAGAGCTCTATATCTGAGGTGAATTTCTCCAGTCCTTGTCCCCCCCCCATAGCAGGCATATATACGCATATGTGATATTTGGTTTTCAAGTCAATGCCTTTAAATTCCTATGGAGATCAGAAATAAATCAAAGCTAACCAGAATTGGAAACTTATAAACTTACTAACCTTTTGTCTAACATAATAATAAAGGCATTTTCCCTCTTTAATATTTGTTTTGTGTGTTTTCCTTACATAGTCTTATCACCTGTGTAGATGTCTTTATCTATCTACCGCAGAACAAGGCCCCAACAATTTCATAACTATAAAAATAGTCTTCCTTACCTCATTGCTATTTCTCCCTCATTGTCACCACTAATTCTTGGAAACTACTAACTTGTTCTACATCTCTGCAATTTGTTATTCAAGGACGGTATAAAAACTCGGGCATATATTAGTCACTTGGTCATGACATTCCTCACTATTATACAATCTTTTATGTGTTTATGCACTATTTAAAATAAAATTAGCTTTTTAAAAGTCATTAAGGTAGTTTTAATTTTACACAGTTATGAGGTTTTTTTTTTTTTTATTTCATGGCCTTGAAAAGTTTTGGTTCTAGAGAACTATCAAATTTAATGTTTTGTATAAGTACAGATTTGTATATATGAACAATGGCTCTGGCAATGCAACTCCTGACAGCTTTTATAATGTTTTTATTGCACAGGTAATTAAACACAACTTCATAGTGGACAGTGTTTTAAGAATCTTTAATAAAATGCTATTGTCTCCCTCTACTTGTGGGCTTTTAACTGTTATCACACAGCAGCCCCCACTTCCATCGGCACTTCCATTTTTTGTGGTTTAGTTACTACAGACAAATGCAGTCTGAAATATTAATGTTAAGTTCCAGAAATAAATGAATAGTATGGTGGATTCTGGGTCATGATTTATTCCTTTGTGCAGAGTACCCAACATGCCCCTGCCATACTCACGGTGGCAGTTGAAATGGTACGTTCACATGATTTCTATTACAGGACAGAGTGTTGTAACTATTTTATAGTTAATGGTTCTGGTTAGTACTGTACTGCAACTAAATGATCAATTAAACTTTGCTATAGGCATGTGTTTATTGTAAAGTGTGCTGTGTATTGGGTTCAGAACTATCTCTATTTAAGACATCCACCAATGTCTTGGTGGAACACTTTCCCATCAATTGGGTGGGGGATACTTTCATACAATTTTCACAAAAAAAATTAGTTTTACTGGGTATGATTTATTAAGTTAACTACTCAATTTAATGCATTTATTTAGAAGACATCAAATTCCTACATGAAACAAAGGCTGTTATTACATTTCTTTTATTTTTTTCAAGGCAGGGTTTCTCTGTGTAGCCCTGCTTGTCCTGGAACTCACTCTGTAGACCAGGCTGACCTCAAATTCACAGAGATCCATCTGCTTTTGCCCCTAAGTGTTGGGATTAAAGGTGAGCGCCCCAACCACCTGCTCAAAAGCCTTTCTTATAGCACAGCAACATAAATACCAGTACATTCATGTAAAGCTTTTTTTTTTTTTTTTGTCTCAGGTCCTTCTGTGACTGGGAGACAATGCCTTATGTCCTGTTAGGAACACTGGGCTTAGCTAACTGGAATCTTATATCCAGCAGTTCAGCAGTGATTAAGCCTGTTGTTTGTCCCACAGTAAAACATAACCTCATCTCTTTAGAGTGCTTTTGGGAATAAAACCCTGCAAATGGCCCCAGGGAAACATGGGTCTGTCCCCAACATTAATCCCCTTTGCCCTGGAATGACCAAGAACATGACGAGGTATATGCATATGAGTGGCACAGTTGTGCATTGTACACGTACAACACCATAACTTCTGCTACTTTTCACATGCAGCTGGAAGTGCAATGTCCTCCCGGTGTTGCCATTGGATTTGTTGCAGAACACTGGAACTTATGCAGAGACACTTACAGCATCCAAAATCAGAGGAAAGAGAATGAGGTGGGAGTGCGTGGTCCATGTGCAACCTATGGCTGTGGTTCAGATCCTGTTTTTGAGGTAAATGTGTATAAAAAGAAGCATTGCTTCTACATTTTCCATTATGACCTCAAAACATTCTTGTCTACCAGTTTTTCCACATGAATGAGTCAAGTGGTATGAAGAAAGAGTTAATTATGAGTTTTCCCATGGTTTCTCATGGCAACTTGATAGTCTCCGCAGTGTGAGTGGCATTGCCTTTTAAAAAACATATTTCCCATTTAGAAAATTAAACTTTTGGGAGTAAACAGCCTGATTGGGTCAATAATTGTTCTTGATATATATAATCGTTTTCTCCCTAATGATTTCTAGAATGAGAATATAGGCTTTATATATAAAAATCTAGCAAATCCCAGCACTTAAAGAATTTGTAAAGTCATGGATATAATAAATGACAGGGTTGTATTATAATATTTTCTTTAAAAAAAAGAATGATCTAATAAAGCAAAGGACAACCAGTCTACAGGCCACAACCCCAGAGAACCCAGGTAACAAAGAGGACCCTGAGAGAGGCAGACATGGATCTGCCTAGGAAGGGGGGAAAGACAAGACCTTCTGAGTAAAACTGGGAGTAGGAGGGGCAGGGGAGAGGGGGGAAGGGCAGAGGGGAGGAGGGGAGGGGAGTGGGGAAAATATATAGTTCAATTTAAATTGTTTTCAATAAAAGGAAAGAAATTAAAAAGAGTGGTCTTTTGTTTTGCATTTTCCCACCTGGGACTGCCAAATAAATTGTTAGAATTAAAGGCTTGAGGTTTGTGAGGCTTTCTCAAAGCCTTTTAAGAGGATGAGGCTTGATATACCTAAACTTATTCCTTCTCCTGCTTCCTATGCTACAGAAAGCTTTATAGCTTTGATTTTATGCTACCATGCAATAAAATATTACTCACATATTAAGAATCTTGTAGAAAATGTCAACAAACCAGATTTCCAGGGCAGATTGCATGTGATCATTCCATTACTGAGGGACATTTGAAGTTATGTATGAGGTACTTTTACTGTCAAATTCTGGGTCCCTCTTTTAGAAGCTAAAGCCCATTCTTATACCTAGATATATTCAGACAGGGTGGGTTTGTCCCACAGAGGCTTGAGTGGTGTGTACTTATAATACGGGCCTCTTAGTTTTGTTTAGAGGTTCCCTTGGTTGGAAGTCACTTTCCATTCTCCATTTCTCACCCTCTGCTACATAAACAAATTTAATCATTAGTTCAAACAATACCTTCTGACAAAGCCCCCAAAAGATGTATTTAAAGATTAGGAAAAGTCACTAGACTGAGGGTCTTAAGATACACTTAATCTTCAGAGTCCTCAATGGAAATTATGCCATTTGTGTTTATTCCTGCACTGTATATTATCATATCACAAACTGCTTCTAAGAAGAGGACCAAGACATGTTCCTTGATGCTTTTCAGCCATCCTAAAATCTCACTCTTGGCACTGCAGGTCAACACTCTAGATGTAGCACCTAATATCAGCGTATTATCAGGAAGTGGAATGGCTTTCTGTCAACAATGGGAGATGCTGACCACTTTGAGATTCGCTTCCCTTTAAACCTGGATGTGAAGATGAAAGCAATGATTTTTGGCGCTTGCTTCCTCATTGTAAGCCTTATGCTGTGGGCTTGAGAGAATTATTTCTTCTAATGAGAAACAGTATTCTATAGAAGAAAATTCATTTCAAAACTTCTTAGCCAGCTTCTCTCTGTGCTACCTGGGTTTATTCATTTGTATCAGGGAGAAAAATACTGGCATTGCAGATTGATGGATCTTAACTGAGAAAAGGCTGCTGGGCACACCTGGAAGGTGTCATACAGATAGCGAATGCAGTGATCATCATTTCCTAATTGTTATTTTTCTCACCGCTTCAAAACAGCTGCCCTTGATAATTAATACAATAAAATAAGTACAGAGCTGCTGCCCCCTTCCTCTTGCATGTCAACTGCAGTCATGCTCATCAGTATTGCACCATCCTTAGTTCTGAGTTTTTCCTTCAGTCAATGATAAAAATCTTAATCTGTGCTGAATATTAAAAGCATATTATCCACCTGCATTCTCACACATTAGCTGAGCTCATGAATAGTTTAGATTTATTTACTTTTACTGGAATAGGATGCTGTCATGATAAATTACAAAGGCAATATACTATATGCACTAATATAATTATTTCTATCTAGTTGTCATTTGTTTCTCAATCTAAATATAATCCTCTTTCCAATTTCAGGATTTCATGTACTTTGAAAGGACTCCTTCAAGGTGTTCATCAAGATAGAAGGATCAAGCAAAGTGTCAGTTGAAAACAAAATTAGAGAAATATACACTGGGCTCACAGCCAGCCTTCAGTTATTCGCAAGTATTTTTTCTCTGGCTTGAACATTGCTTTCACTGGTATAAGTTCAATGATGCAGTCAGGACACATGTCCCAGTTGAGTATTTGGCACTAGAAAATATCTGCTCTATTAGCCAAGTAAACAGGTACAATGCAACAACAAAAAACAAAAATAAAAACAAGCAAACAAACAAAAAAAACAATAGGCATATGAGCTATGGGAAAATGAAGCCCTTAGTTCTCAACTTAACAGGTAGTAACAGATCTTCTGTGTCTATCCCTCTCTTCTCTGTCAAGAACACACACTTGATTCCAGGGGACAGGACTGCTACTCTCAATCTTCATCTTTAGGACAGAAAAGGCACACAGAAATAATTTGCTTTAACGAGCAAAGAAAACACTTTTTGTGAGCATGTATCAGAAGCTTGTCCTGCAACATGCATACAATTTCTTAAAGTTCTCAGTGGGGAATTTGATTTTATTACAAAATAAAGTGTATTCTTTTTATAGTGCCATTTATATTTCCCACAAGTGTTTATTCATCTCTTCAGCTGGACATTTTGGAGCTACCTATTTATGAAGGCTACTAGCAGTTGACTAGAGCCACAGCCAAGATCTTCACATCTTAGGGCTTTGGTGCTTGAGTACAATGTACCTTGTACATTTACTTACTTGGCACATTTAGCATACACACACACTTTATATCTGAATATGTATCCTGAAGCCTAAGATTATATATTGTATCTTTGTATCTCACTTGACATTCTTTTTCAAATTCAGTCTAATGAGCAAGATGTCCTAATGACAGTTTATAAAAATGGAATGCATAAATCTTACCATTGTTTGACTGCTTTCTATGTTAAACAACTTTTTACACACAAACAATTGGAAAAATGCAGTAAATATGTTGCCTTTGAATTCTTTCCAGACTGTCAATGAGGACTATGCAGGATCAGCCGAGTACTTGTACATGTCAAGGATAGTGTATGTATGAATACACCAATTAGTGAGTCTCTCACCTTGGCTTCCTATCTGCACGTGGATGTATTCTCTTAGAGCTTATTTAATGAATATAAAGTGTTTTTAGGTTGGGTTATCATGAGAGAAGAGGCTTAGGCCATAGCTCTTTTTGAAACAAACAACAGGTGCTTCACTTTTAATTGTACTAATCTTTTTATGATAAAGATTGTTTTGCTATATTATTTGTTACAATTATTTACTTGCCCCTATTCATTTTTTAAAGGCTAAGATATGTGAATTGTTTTCTAAAAACTAAATACCTTATCTTTTAAAATGCAACTCTAATAGTAACTAGACACACCTGCTTTCTGTAGTACTGTGTTATGTTTTGCATATAAACCAGATAAACAGAGCTCATTATGAACTTGTCATTTTATCCACCCTGGCCTTATGTTGATAGTGCAGGTCAGTACTGTTAGCGTTTGGGATACTAATACTTTTCTAGCAGAAAAATCCCTTAAGCATAATAAGGTGTCATATTTAACATAATTCATGCAATTTCTGTATCTCAATGGAATTTTAATGTATGAAATTGACAAACTTAACTAAAAAAAATAAACAGGACCATTTTTAAAAAGTTGAGTATTTTCTTGTCCCCTTAGATTTCTTAGATCTTCAAATAAATATGTGATAAAGCTAACAATAAGATAGTATTTTATTTCCTGAGTTGTGACAGAGTCTGCATGCTTTCCAGAGAGTTTTTAAAGTAATTTCTTATTAATTACCAAGTTATTTTCTTTCTTGTATAGATTTACTAATTAATTCCCGAGGCACTGAACAGTAATAACTAACATTCATTTTTTAATGTTTTGGACAATTATTTGGTAATTTAATAAATGTATTTTTCATCATACCTCTCCCACTTTCTTCTCCTCGATCCGCTCTCACCTTCTTATACCCACTTCAGATCCTTTTTTATACTTATGAGATTTCCTACAGTACTGTATTTTATCTTTTCCACCCCATATTTCTTTCCCCTCTAAATTCATTGGTTTCCCTCCCTCTCAAATTTTACCTCTTTAGATAAGACACACACAAGCACACATCTAACTTGCATACAAGTAAGCATGCACACGGCCTGCTATGTCCATTTAGTATTGCTCATATGTGTATAAGTTTATGATTGACTGCTCAGGATTAGACAATGTATGAGGAGGGTCTAATTTCTGGAGATGACTGATTATCCCTACACTAGCTGCTATTAATTGCCTGTAGCTTTTCATCTATTGATGAAGCCCTTTGAATTTCCCTCATCCATGTAGGAATGTCAGTTAGTATTGTTATTGCACAGGTTTTGTTTAGACCACTGTATAGTAGTGATGTCTTGAGTATAACTTCCCCGTTGTATATAGAAGACACTATTTCACATCACAGCTTACTGTTCTGTAGTTATTACAATCTTCCTGCCCTTCTTTAGAGATGTTCCCTGAGCCTCAGGTATAGGGGTTGTGTTGTAGAGGTATCAGTTGCGGATTGGTACCCTGTGGTCAGATGTTCTTTTCTCTGCATTCTGTTCTCTGAAGATCCAGATGTGGATTTCTGTGATGGTCTTCTTTTGCTGCCAAAGAAGTTTCTTTGGCTAGTGTTTATGGTAGTTTATGTTTTCTTAAAATTCCACTCTAACCCCTTGTAGCAGAGACTGTTACAGAAATCCACAAGTGGTCAAAATACATCGAAAAACTAGTGTCCTATGACAAGCCCCAATCAACATTTGACATTTATTTTATTTTACCAAAAAATTACATAATTTCCACCCTATACTCCCCCCTTTAATATCCTTGTCCCTCGCACTCCATATGTACAACACAACTCCTATGCCTATGACTCCAGGAACATCACAGAAGAGGATGCAAAAGATAGTAAGAGCCAAAGGATCAAGACATGTGCTGTGATATATTCTTTTCCAAAGGAAAAAAATAACAGCAAGAACATGAAATGTAGTGGTTAGGGAAAGGGCTAAGATGACTTCATGGAAGAGTGGAAAAGTGAATATGATCAAAATATGAATGTTATCAAAATTCTCAATCAATTAATTAAAGAACTATTTTTGGAGACTCTTCTTTGAAAGGTGAGAGCTATACCTGTCTGTCTGTCTGTCTGTCTGTCTACTAGATTCTTAGATGCAAATGGGAATTATACTCATTTAGGAAAGTGTCAGTTAGAGTCCACAACATCATCATCCTTGGGTAGTTGTCTAGGTTTACAGTACTGGACCTGAGTTCCCTCCTATTAAGCTGTTTATTACTCCAGGATTAGAAATGCCATTATAGTACCCGTAGGTATATTTCGGCATTCTGGTCCTTATTATGATTTCTAAGCATTACAGCAGTGTCTTAGTTAGGGTTTCTACTGCTGTGATAAAGCCACAACCAAAGGCCACTTGGTAAGGAGAGGGTTTCTTTCACTTAAACTTCCCAGTCCAGGGAAGTCAGGGCAGGAAATAAACTAGAGGCAGGGACTGAAGCAGAGGCCATGGGGGAGTGCTGCTCACTGCCTTGCTCCTTATGGCTTCCCAAGCCTGTTTTGTGATAGTACCCAGGGCCACCAGCCCAGAGGTGGCACTGAACCTGTGAGATGGGCCCTCTCACATCAATCATTAATTAAGAAAATGCCCACAAATTGCTGGTGGCCTATCGTATGGAAGTATTTTCTCACTGAAAGTGCTACCTAAATGACTCTACCTTTTGTCAAATATCTACCAGCTATGGTGGGTAGAAAGATTGATTGCTTTCCTTTGCAGCTCACATAGCACCTTTCAATGCTTTGAAATCTAGTCCTCAGGAATGAGGCCTCCAGGTCAGTTCCAGCTCAGTTCCTCCAAGTCTTTTGTCCTAAATGTCTGGTATCTTCAGCAATAGCATTTTATCTTTTTCTTTTTTTCTAGAAGTACCCTTGTTGGTTTTGCTGTCAACTTGATACAAGCTAGATTATCTAAGAAAAAAGGGAGAAAAGGCCTCCAAAAATTGGCCTGATGGCAAGTATCATAATGAATTATTGATGTAGAAGGACCCTAACCATTTTGAACGGCAGCACCACTTAGCAGGTGGTCACCATCCATTTACCAGCTTGAGGACATTTAGATTGTCTCCATTTGTAAATAGAAGATCAGTGAACGTGGCTGGGCAAGTATCTGTGGATTATTCTAGCATCCCTGACCTCGCACGCTTACAGTCTTTCTGCTCCTCTTTCTTGTGGTCCCTCAGGTACAGGAAGAGAGGTATCCCATTTGTGGCTGAGCACTCCATGGACACTGATTTTCCTTTGAATCTTTATCTATAGCTACAATGCATTTCCCATGTACACCTAGATGTGTCATCCATGTAAATCTCAGAAAAGACAGAAGCAAATGATACATTCATGCAGGCAAAGTGGGAGTGAGTAATATGTTACTTGGCAGTACACTGCATGGCTAAGAAGAGCATGTGGTAGACATTTCCTCAGTATTTACAAAAGGAAAAAAAATATAGTATGCTTATGAAATATTATTATAGTAGCCAGTATAGCTACTGGTTACTTGGGCTAATCTTTCCATTATCTTAATCTATCAATAATTATTTCATTGAATATCTACTAAAGTTAGGAACTGAACTGAAAAACAAATGGAAACCCAATAATAATAATAATAATAATAATAATAATAATAATAATAATATAATTATTCCTAAAAAAGGCTTGTGGTTAAGACAGATCCTTAGAAAACAACTATGATGCCTGCTGTAGACATTGACTCTGGAGTACTGGTCCATTCACAAAGGGCTGCTAGTACTGTACCATATGATTTATTGCAATCACAATCAATCTATCAAGGCTGACTGTATAGTTTGTCAGAGAAAGTTCCTGGAAGTTCTGAAGATAAGGTAAATTTTACACCATGTCTGCAAAATGATTCCATTGTGAATACAATTTTAAAAGTCAATCAGATT